AATTATTTTAAATATTTTGATCAAAAAAAAAAAGAATAACTTTAGCAGATTTTTCAAATGTTCTTTTGTTTACATCTACTTAACGAAATGTAGTGTTCTCGTTTAATAATTGCTTGTTTGAATTTCATTAAAGCATTAACTTGACGAATTTAATGTTTAAATTGTATACATTATTCGCCTACTGTTATGAAGTTTTGACAATTTTTGTCGCAATGGAAATCAAAAGACGTTAACTGGTTATTTTTTCATTCGTTTCTTTCATTGATTACATACATAAAGGTGTTAAGAGTTTAATGATGGTCAATACATATTTAGTAAAACGCGTTATAAATCAAGCCTTAAATTTTAATTGTCTAAATAGCTAAATTTTGCTTAAGCATATCAATTTTAATTTCAGCGAGCTTAATTCGTAAGACAAGTGTTTTTGTATTGAGATTATTAACTTTATCTCTCGATTTTTTAAATATTTACCAAAGCATAGAAAAGCGTCATCCCAAAATTATGTAGACTCTATAAAATTGAAGGTTGCAACAAAAACGAAAAATACGTATTAATTACTCGCGTCACAGTTAAAATTTAATAATCCTTCATGCAGTAGAGATAGCCATAACAGTATGTAAATAAAATGACATACAACGCAACGTTTCGCTATTTGCCCGTTTAAGCAACGTATAATATTATCTAAGTCCGTTTACGGTCTCCGTTTAGCAGCAAATAGCTTATTGTGCTTCGCTGGCGAGATAAGATCTTGACGTGTGGCAACGCGTCCGTCTGTCCGTCCGTCTGGCGCCACCCGCGCCTTAAGGCTCGAGACAGCGATGAGTCAAGCGAGCTTATCGAGGTCCCCCCGGTTTCTGTAGAAAGTTAAATCGATATACAAACATGCACAGATTTGTCTTGAGTATCAAACGAAAGGGGCGACGGTCGACACAAAGGTTGAACTAATTTCAATTCGTACGACCTCGTGAAATCAATTAAAGGGAATTAAAATAATAGCGAAAAGTAAAATGCGAGTACTCAAGAAATGCGCATACACAATTAGTTAAATTAATTAAAGGAATTTAAAGTTGGCAGCGACACGGTTCCAAGTTGCCTTATTTGACTTCACCTAACCCGTCAAGATCGCCCAGAGATAAAATCATGTTGCGCAAGTGCAAGGAATATAAATAATCTGAGAAATTAATTTATTTATTCTTATTTAATGTTTTTAAGAATGTCACACGGCCATATGTTGCAGCAAATCGTTGTCGATATCGCGTTTATTACATTGTCGAGTTTGACTGTATTAAAAAAAAAAACAAGGATATGCAAAATCTCAATCTTTGTTATTTGAACATGTTCATGAATTTCTCAACATATTTAAATTTAGTCTGGTCGAGAAGTGAGTTTTCCGTTTTTTTTTTATTTATCTGACCTTTAAATTATTAATTAAGAAATCGGTTTTTTTCTAAAAATCATAATTTCTTATTTCAAATAGAATTAAAAAAAAAACAATTTTTTTCAACAATATTTTCATTGTTTAATTTATAGACAATTTGTTATAAACAAATTCTGACTTTTATATAATTTTTTTTTTCGTTACTTAGAAAAATTATAAATATAGTTATATATATCAAAGTAATGAAAAAAATTTTTCTATATTTTTTTTGGCATTTTTAAATATTTCACTACATCAACCTGGAAGCGGTCACCGATTTTATTAACTTATAAATTGTTATAACTTCTTAACTATTGATTATATGGTCTTAGACATTCAGGACGATCTTTTAAACAATTAATTAATCTATTCAAATTGTATTTTACCTGCTCATTATTTAAAACGGTTCTATTATTATGAGCATTTGTTTATAAAAAAATTCCCCTTTTTCAGAATAAAATTCTGAATCCAAAAAACCAAACCCCATATTTTTTAAATTGTGCTAACTATTTTTTCGCAGAAAACTTACTTCTCGACCAGACTAATTCTGTTAATGCCAGTCTGCATACATGTACACAGATGTACACTAGATACGAAAGATTTTTTTTTTGTATGCAACAACATCTACTTAATTACATAATGGGAATTATAAACTTTCAAATATAAAACAATCTTGATCAAATGATTTATCCGTTCTTGTATACAATTATGCCCGGTGGAGGCGAGCACTTTCCTGGAATCTTCAATTTATTCTACTACTATAAAAGCGAAAGTTTGTGAGAATAGATGAACGTTTGCAATACTTTCACGCAAAAATTGCTGGACAAATTTTGATGAAACTTCCACAGTATTAGACACATTCTCTAGACAAATGCTCTAATAACGGGCTTTTTCTCGACGTTTCGTTCGCGTGGACGTAGCAAAGACGGAACCGTGTCTACGTACAAAAGCGGGACCAGGAACAGAATCGAGAATGGATTCGACATCGGGATATATTTCTTCTTCCATGTCTTGCGCTGCCATATCGTTTTCGCACTTGCGACAAAACTCTGTTAACTTATTGCTTGCATTTGTGGCGTGAAGAAACCCAGCGCCTGCATAATTTTTCTATTGGTACGAACTATAGAAACGATTTTAAAAAATCTTTCACTCATAACATTATCCCCGAGTAATATAGCCTAAATTTTATTTTGATACTAGAATTAACCCGGCTTAGTTCAAATCGGAACCTTGTCCGGTAGTGGAATCGAAATCGAAAGCGCGACGGGGAGCAGAAGGGTTTGAAAATGAGAACGGGACTAAGGACGCAATCGGTAGGGCTAAAATTAGAGTGTGACCGGAATATGAACAAGGAGCAGTACCGAGATTAGAATCGAAGCCAGGGCCGGATGCGGGGAGTGGGGCCAGAATCGGAACTTACTTAGATCGAGACGGAGTTACGACCGGGTTTAAAGTCAGGAATGGGATGGCGGGATCATGAGTTAGAGCGTGATCGTATCGGATATACAAAATGAGGGAATTAATTGTATGTCCACTCGAGTAGAGCCGTCGGCGGAAGCTAGTATTTAATAAAACTGGGACACAGTCAGTATTGTTCAAAGATTAATATATTTCTGGAAGACAATATTTGCATTTAAATATTACATTTAAATTTGATTAAATGCTAATGTTATAACGAAACAACCTTTTATTTGGAATGAAATAATAATATCAAATTAAAAAAAGGGGACCTCTTATTTGCATCTATTCCACTGGCTTTCATATAATTTTGTACAGTAATATCCTACACATAAAAGCGATTCTTTGATTTTTTGTTAATACCCAAATTAAATTTTATACTTTGCGTATCAATGCTCATAGGTGGTGCTTATAAAACACACGCATTTAAGTAGAAAAATTTAGATTAAAACGAATATATATATATGTGTGTGTGTGTATATATATAGGCGAAAAGAACCAAGCGTTAAAATTAAACACTACTTAAGTGGTATTACACCCTGATATCAATCAGAATAACAACGGGCGTGATCTTTGTATTATTGCACCATTTGCGAATTTTTATATTAAATTCTATCTATTTTAATTTATCATTACTACGAATAGAATCGTTTCTATTTATAGTAAGCGGTTTAAATTCTTCAAGTGTACAGAGAATTAAATGTACAACAGAGTTGTACGTTTCTAAAGGGGTAATTCCCAATCATTCACTAGAGGGGTAATTCCCAATCATTCACTAGAGGGGTAATTTAAAATAATCCACTAGGGGCTGGTCCATTAGTTACTTAGACGGATGAAAAGGAAGACGTTTTATAAATTAAATTTTAACACTTACGGTCATTAGGAATAATGGATTTATTTTGAAATTCCGTGAAAATACCATTCTTTTACTATATTTTTACAGGACAATTTATTATTGAAAACGTAATTAGTCAAAGTTTTCATATTAATAAATATTTCTTTATAAATGCCGATAAGTGCATTAAATTATTGTTAATTTGTGATACTGAACGCCTGCAACGAGTTGCAACGTTTTCAACACCATATAAGTCTCCAAATTGCATACACCGAAGCAATCCGCTAACAGATTGATTTGAATGCAAAAGCGATTGGTAATATATCATCTGACCTTTAATGGAACATCCATTTTCAACGCTTTTGGATCGAATAGAAAACGAATAAATTTGAATGCATGTGTACTAATGTATGTACAATATTACTTAGCGATTGTAGCATTGAAATATAAAAGCACAGAATTATAACGCGCTACAAATAGACACAACTTCATGGCCTAACAAACTCGCACAAATATAAGTGAGATAAAACACCTTGTTTAAAAATGCTAATAAATTCTGCACAGAGAAAATTAACTTCATCGCATTCACCTTAAAATTTAATTTTGAATGACGAAAGAAAGAAAGGAAGAAAGAAAGAAAGAAAGTTTGACGAAAGAAAGTTTATAAATTTTCGGTAGCAGGTAATTTTCTTGCAAGCGTGCATTTCTTTCTCATTAATTATTTATTTTAAACTTTATTCACACTCCTTTTTGATGACTATATTCCTCGAAGTTTCATATTATTCCCTAATAACATGTTTTAATTAATCTTAAATCGATTAACATTTTTTTAATATTGGATATAATTTAAAACAATGCTATTTCCTTGCTCTCCTAAAGAATGTTGATCCTCTTTGTCAAACTATTATAATTTGGAGTTTATTTTTAGTAAGCAGATAATAATTTTTTTATATGTATATAAAAAAAAAAAACGCCTTCGCTCCGCTTGAAATGGGCTATAAATGACAATAAATTAGAAAATAGCTCAAACCGAATGGACTGCACGGTGATATTAGAGAGACAGGGTATTTATTTAATTGGGGACAATAGATGCGAAGTACGATTACCGCAAATGGACTATCATCGCATGAGGCTGATACAATTTACTGTCGTAAAAGTATTTTTCCCTTGTTATTACTGTCGTGTCGTTCGTTGTAATGTATCAGATATCGATATCGAAAAAAAAATAGGGCAGTCAGCTTTTGATGCTAACAAAGTAATGTCCGACACGAGTTCATTATACCTTTGACTGTCTGATTGGCGCAGTGGTAGTGACCCTACCTGATGCGCTGGGGTCGTGGGTTCGATTCCCGCATAAGACAAATATTTATTTATTTGATCAAAAGTTAATGTTTGTCTTGAGTCTGGGTGTTTCTATGTATTATACGTATATATTTACAAAAAAAAAGTATGTATATATACTACATACAAAAAAAAAACTATATTTGTAGTATATCAACTGTCTGATACCCATAGTACAAACCTTGTTGCTTGGTTTGGGACCAGACGGTGCTGTGTATATATGTCCGAAGATATTATTATTATTATAATCGAAGTTCAGGAATCTTTTTCTAAAATAATCGACTGAATTACGATCGCTAGCCCGAGTACATCGGAATCGGCATTGAGACCGATGATCGTAACGTTCCAGAACTGATCTACCTAGCACCTGTGAAGAAAAACAAATCGAAATTGCTGCAGAACTACAAGAGAATACTACACTGAAAAAAAATTGGTCATTCCAACCATAAGTTTGAATAACATAATGAATTTTGATTGTTGATTTTGAGCAAATTAATATTTTGGTTGTCATAACCAACCTGTATGTTGGTACGATTGATCCGATTGGTTAAATCACACATATTATTTGTTAATACAACGAATTATTCAGTTATTACAACAAAATATATTTAACCAAGCCAAATTCGAACTTGGTTAGAAATATTTTTTTCAGTGTAGAAAAAGTTTCCACAAACGGAAAGCATCGCGGCAGACGTTTACAGAAACACAGTCAAAATATTCATCAATAGCGGAGTCGATTTCTTCTTCTTACGTAAAACGGTGACTACGCGATTTTTTTTTATTAGAGAATAACCAAAAGTCGCACATTGTTTTTAAAAGTCTCGAGAAGTTCTGGCGAGCAGTGTTCTGTGTACTGGGATACCGTGACAGTTGTCTGTCCTTTTAATTTAACAGTTTTGATCAAGTTTATATTTCTGAAAAACACGGCGTACACAACTTTTTTCATTGTACGTACTTTTTGCACGATAGTTGGGTGGTTGACGATTACCTGACGTTTTTCTGATTGTTGGTTTCCAAATTTCCTGATGTGTAGGCAATCGTAAAATGGAATTCACGTTTCATCACCTGTTACTACTCTAAATATTATATGGCGACTTTTTTAGGGTTCCGAGCCAAAATAACAAAATTGGAACCCTTGTAGTTTCGTCATCTCCGTCCGTCCGTTCGTAACATGTCCTTGTAACACACGAGTGTTACAGGTAATTTATTCTAAAATTACAGGACATATATTGATGAAATTGATAGTGTAGGTGTCTTGTATAAGCCGCTACTTAGGTTGGTAAGAATAGAAACTGAAAAAAAAAAAATTTCAGCAAACATCAACGTGTAACACATATTTCGACAGATCTTTTAAAAACACTTTAAGGTTTCTAAGCGAAGTTTCTGATTACGTGAATAATTTCGGAAATAATCGCTCAGAAAATTGCAGATATTGTCCCCCCCTTTATTTTCTAAACCGTATGTTCAAAATATATGAAAAAGAAACAATAGTAACGATTAATAAATAATTTCAACGAAAATTATTTTGAACATGATCTAATATACCGTTTTTCAGTTATTGCCGAAAAACTGCGCTTTTCAACAAAAGGACGTAAGTGCCATGAAAATACGCTCTTTTGCTGATGTACTTTAGTTTACATTGGTTTAATAGCAATAGTTGAAATACTATAAAGTGCTTATAACTATTTTGTGCGGTAAACTTGGAGGAAGTGTAACAACGTACTTTTTTCTTCTGTAGTGTATTTCTTTGTAATAATGACTTCGGAACCCTATAATGAGCATGGTCCGACATGCTCTTGGCCAGTTTTTTATTCAATAATATTAATATCTGTCGGTCGATCCTTACACGCTCGGATTTCTGGTGTTGTGTAAGATTATATGGAACCTGACAAGAAAGAATTTTTTTCATTTTTAAATCATTATCTCATATCTTATACACTACTGCAGATCCAATCCCAAGAGTATTCTAAATTATGTGGTAGGTGAATACCGATTGTCATCTTTTATCGTTTTGCGAACACGAATGACATTATCTGAATGTCAAATAAGACCTTCCCGTATGTTCTTCATCTTCAACTGAACAGAGTCCATTACGAAATTCTTCAAACCATCGAAACACAGTGGCTCGAGATGGCTCTTCATCATCAAACGCCGACTGTAACCGCTGCACACATTGCTCTTCGGATAGACCTACCTTAAAATCATAGTCTATCATTGCTCGTTAGCGCTCACGTTTCAAATACATTACTTGTTTCACCGGAACACACTTTACGATACCTTTGTTTAAAAACGCAGGAAGTGACTACTGCCCACGCTTTTGTAGTGAAGCGGACTTGCACGCATGCGCAATCATAGCCGAGGGAAAACCGGCTTTTGACACTATCTATGATTTCAGAATGGCCCTCGTATTTTACTCGTAGGTGATAGTCAAAGCGAATGATGTGCGACTCGTATATGTTTATGCCGAAAGTTTAATTTAGGTATCAAAGGTTTATGGAAAAAAACGTTTTTAGATACGAACGAACACATAAATAAAATAATATGCGTGATCTTAAAGTATTATGTTTGTTCAGATTTACGATGGATCCCTAAAAATGAAATAATACAGATTTAGGAAGTACTTTTAATGAACATTGTACTAGCTTGTGTACTAGCTTTCGATAACAGTACAACCTGCGTGTATATATACATGAATTATTTCATCTTTTATATCTAGCTATCATATTTATGCAAGAAATCATAATTATATCACCCATACTTATAAAAGAAGGTTTCGAATAAGAGAAGGGTCACATAATAGTGGTTCAGTTAAGACAGCCTAATTCGATTACAATAATAAAACGAAAACTTACCCAAAGAGTTTACTTACTCATAACCCCTATTAGCCCCCCCAGATCCTTTCCAGAATTTATAATGTTTTTAATACCCACTTTCGTGTATGTAATGCAGGCATTTTCTCTATAGTAATAGTCTTAGGATATCACAGATATGCATGAAATCATGTTTCGCACAAAAAATATTACTAACGATATTTAATTGTTAACATTTTAACGATTTGCAAGTAGGTAGGTACAGTTAGAAGCGATGGCTGTACCTGCAGCAAGAAAAAGCAATCGAGGCAACAATATTCTGTATTAGATATCGTCAAATACATTGGAACCAGTCGAGACAAATGCGCCATTAGACCTCTCTAGAAATATGAATTATGGAACGGGGGAAAAAATTGTAACGAACGCAGGCGCCGAGTTCTTGTTAGGATTTTCTGAATGAAACGAGTCGACAGAGCGGGCGCCAGCACTGAGTGGCAGCCCAATTAGTGCGCGCCTACTCATCGGCCGAGGATAGACCTAGGAGAGGATTGCTTCATTCAACATTTTGATATGTCTAGGGTTCCGTAATTTCATATACGAAAAGCCACAATAGTAGTGCCTATCAATTAGCAAGATTCTACAGATTTTCCTTAAATAATTCTCACCTGAATTTCGTACAAAAATGTAAGCATTTAGGTTTCATACTTATCTTATATGTAAATATTTTAATAATTGTGTTAATTATATTTTGTATGCTATTTAATAAAGTCTATTAATTAATGTAAAATCTATCTAGTTAATTCTAATTTAGGTTTCATACATATCTTATACGTAAATATTATAATAATTGTGTTAATTATATTTTGTATGCTATTTAATAAAGTCACTAATTAATGTAAAATCTATATAAATAATTCTAATTAATATTTAAAGCCTGAAGTTTCGAACATCATAGACTAATGTTAGAAACTTGGAAACACAAGCAAGGCCAAAACTGTTTTTAATTTACTTATAACAGAAGTGAGTGTTTATATTTATATTTTTTTAATTTCTCTTAACACATTTCTATTTTGGTCTCATATGAATGTATGGAAAATTGGCGAAATTTTGAAAAGTTCACTACACACTATGAATTAAAGTCCCCCGGTATGTATTTTTTTGGAATGTAATCTTAGATCCATCGGTATAATAATAGTGATCGGTATATTGTACGGATTTTAATTCAGTTTTCATCAATAGAAAGAGTACTCATCTAGGAAGGCTGTAGGCTATAAAATATGAATGAACTGGAAAATAAGCTACCAGTATGATGATATTTAGGAATAAAGTCGAAAAAAATGAGAGCAAAACTGGGGTCGAAACCGAGTGTCGAATTGGAATTAGAACCGAGTGCGTGGTCGGGACCGAAATGAAGAACAATTACGGAACTATAATTAAAAGCAGGGGCGATATTGGGATTTATAGCAAGGTCTTTTCATATAAAAGATGAAAGAACATATTAATATTAGGTCAGGGAAAAAGTTCTTTCGTATTTCATAAGTAAAAAGTTGTAGTAAGATCTTTTTGGTTGTTCTGTTTGTATCTGACTAGTTTTAATAACACTAAATAGATGACATTTTAAAAAATAAGAATAATAATTAAAAACTGTCCCGAAATATTTCTATAGTTTTTCTGTCTACCAAAATGAGTGAATCTAACCTAGAAAATCGATACATTTCGAAGTATTTTTACACAAAAAAAAAAATTCGATACAAGCCGCGAAAAAAATTTGTGACGTTAATAGACCTAATGCATTTTAATGGTAAGAGTAGCACGAAACTGCTTCAAGATTTTTCAGTTCGTTAATTTTGATGTCAAATATGAACCTCGCTCTGGTCGACCTGTTACGAATAAAATCGATGCCATTTTGGACTAAGTAGATCAAGATCGGCATATTACTTCCTACAACATAATTGTAGAGCTGGGGATTGACCACAGACAGTTTGGACGCACTTGAAAACAGTTGGATACAGAATAAAGCTCGATACTTGGAACTCAGACGAGCTCACTGAAAAAAAATCTAACGAATTGTGTACTTATTTGCGATTGGCTGTTGAAACGAAATGACACTCCACATTTTTTAAAAGACTGATCACTGGTGATGTAAAATGGATTACCTACGGACAAGGACGTGCGAAAAAGATCATGGCAAGCAAGCTTCACAGACTATA